GTGCAGCAAAGACCCCTAAGTGTGCGAGGGGTGGGTACAAGCAGGTTAGGGCTCCACAAGCTCACAGCCAAGGAGTGCTGGTTCCTTGGTGGGGTGACGCTCACTCTCCAGGGCCAAGGCCATAGAAAGCACCTTCGGGAGAGCTCCTGCTGTGGTGAAGCAGCGCTGGGAGGGTGGGAAGCAGCTGCAGGCAGAGCTGCTGGCCAGGCTGCCTGCTGGAGGGCCAGGGCAGCACAGAGCCCGGCTGGGGAAAAGCGGCAGAATCTCTGCGGCACAGTTCTTGCCAGGTTAGGGAATGTGTGACGGAGCAGCTGTTGGATATGCAGTGACAGCTACCACGACCACCATGGCTTTGCTGGCTGACAGCATGTCTCCCAAAGGGGGGTAAAGCATGGGCTACTCTAATCAGATGTTCATTCGGAGAAAAATGAACTTTCTGTCATTCAAGTCCTTGTGGGTACTGCAAAGAGAACAAAAGAGTACAGTCATTAAAAAAAAAAAGAAGTCACTGGCTACTGACCTGCCTGTCAATAAGCATTAAAGAAATGTGGTGCTACTGCTGAGAAACTACCAAATTTATTTTAAAGAGCCATGCTAATGTCAAATACAAAGTCAGAATTGGTGTTGATCTGTAACAATCATGTTGAAATCTGGAGATACTTTTGGTTTTATTGTAAAGGAAAAATCCTCCACAAAAGATACTTGCATTAGCAAGGGAGAAAATCTGCAGCTGAATTAGGGAGAGACTAGAAGAGGGAAAAAGGTAATTTTCCTTTCCACAGAGTTTGGATGTCCTCACAGTTCACAACAGCAATTAGGCATTTGAAATTGGCAGTAAATCCTGGGAAAGGATGAGCATATTGTCAGAATAGTTGTGTTTTTTAGAGAAGTGCATTCACTCTGACTCAGGGAGGAGCTGGAGTCTGCGTGAAGGGAGAGCAGCAAGTACTGGCATACTTAAACTCTTTGGAGTTGGAGGCTTTGCTACCATAAAGGAACCATTTTTTTACGAAGGATCTGCAAGGCCTTCTGAAGATGTGCACATACCAATTCTGTTTCTGCATAATTAAATTCATAACCTGTTTCAGAAAAGAAAGAGCTTTGAGGTTTCAGTTGAACTTTTACTGTGTTTGATGTACATCAGAAATACCCTCCTAGCTTTTCACACACTTGTAGTCAGAAGACTACTGTAATTCTGTAAGCAGTGTGCCGTTCTGGCTAGGTGCTTTTGTCTTAACCTCTTCTTAACACCTTTTCATTCAGTTTCTCTCTCCTCTGTCATTTACTCCAGGCCACTTCTGACTTCTGCAGTACGAAAAAACCCAACGAGTAATGTAAATAAGTCTGAATCATACTTGTTTAAAACAAGTGGTTTTTTTCACTTCTGTCCATTTTATCATCATGTTTGAGGCTTCTACATTTTTCTTGTATATTACTGGTTAGCTGGAAGGACATATAGACATTAAGACCTTTGGGAGAGATTTTTCCTGCTTTTCAGTTGAAAGCAGGTCACTGCTCTTATTGATTTCTGGACTACCAGATATTGTATGTGTCAATGTTAAGTTTTAGGTCTCCTCTTGTGATGGCAATAATGATGAAGAATTCAGTATTTGGGTTTTATGGGGGCACACCTAGGTCATTTTACCATTAAAATTATCAGAGGACCAGAAATACTCTCTTGTTTTCAACTAACAAATCTCCAGATTGTTCAAGTACATTTACAAAGGTGATTTGCATAATTTCTTTGTGTGTGGTGGGTTTTTTCTTTTGTATGTCCAGAAAAAACTTAACAAAGGACTTTTTTTCATTCCCTTACTATTTCATAGGAGCTAGGCTTGTTCCTGGAATGTTAATATGGGTGTTATCTGTTTTAAAGAAAAAATATTGAGATTGAGATTGAGAGAGGGTGAGTCATGATGTAATTGAGTAATTGATGATGAATGATGACAAAAGTGTCCATGGGAAATATAGAAAACTATTAAGCTGTGTAGGAATTCAGTGGTGTTTAAGATTTGTATAATCGGTCTGAAATACAGAAAACTTTAAAGAATATTGCTAAATGTTTAGCTAGAAATTTATCATTTTCTCTCCAGCTCTTATTGTAAATGTTAAAAGTAATTTTGATCAACATTTGAAAGGAAAGTTCTTGTATTTTTAATATTAAAACATTAATATGTTTGTTATTTTAATATTACCTGAAAAATTTCTTGATAAAGTGTACAAAACTAAATTCTATTTTGTCTGGGAAAGCTATCTTTCCCCTTTCAAGCAGCACTGAATATTTTGCAACATCCAGAAGTACAGACCAGCAGCAATCTCTTTGAGAAGAAATTCTCAGAAGATTCAGATCCCTTTTACATGCTCAAACCTAGAATGCAGAAATACAAACCACAAAATAAATTGGGTGTGTTTATTTATGACAACTGGTTTTTTTCATTTCCCCTCCTCACTTTCCCTGTCTGGAGACTGCAGCAGAAACCACATGACCAGACAGATGCCTTTCAAATAAGTTTTGTAATTAACCTGCTCTTCTTGAAAACAGATACAAAACGAAGAACACCTTAAGCAACCCCAAATGTTTCCAAATGTGCACCTGGATTTGGTGGGATAGACATGTACTATTTCTTCTAAGCATAAACTACTATGCTGCAAAAGTAAAAAGTAAACTTGCATTTATAAATTAAAAGGAAATCCTTGAAAGCAGTCTAGGAAATGGTCAAGCTGTCAATGTTGAATGAAGTTTGCACATGAGGTACAGAGTGTTGAACTTCTAGTCTGAAGTTCATGCAGAAGAGAAACTGCTTCAACAATTCATTCAAGTATGGAGATAGAAATGGACACATTCTTTTTGACTTTCTGAGCTTGGCTTTGACTTGGTTTGTTTTGTACTACAGGAAAAAACTTGTCCCTTACCATTTACCTTGGCCTAGAGTTCACTTTCTCCAGTAAAAATGGAATAAAGTTACCATTCAGGTACTCTGTAAGCCATCTTTATGTGGTTGGATTGATTCTCTCATTGTGTTAAGGCACCTTTCTGCACTGCTTGGGAAGGAGCTGTGTCAGCATCATTGCTTTAGAAAGTACAACAGCAAGGTGCCTGTAGCTGCTGTCTTTATGTTCTTCCATTCCCTCTTAAGCAGACTTTTTTTGCCTCCTGCCTGTGACCACCAGTACCCAGTGGTCTGCTCTTCACAGTCACAGGCTTTGAAAAGTGTCCCTACACACTCACTGTGTGCAGCTGTACTCAGGCAAATGGCTTAAGGGCAGATGTAATTATTTCAGAGTTTTCTGAAAGTCTGAATTTGAACTTTCTGGGAACTGTTTGTCATTGTTGGCTTTTTTACTATATTGCCTTTCAACAATAAGTGTCATCTTTCTGATGTAACTGTTCTGTATTTGCAAAGGGATTGTCCTTCATCAGCAGGAAATAAAAATGGCCCTATGAATCTGTGTTCTCTGATCTTAATATTGTGTATGTAGAAGACATGAGAGAAACAGAGGTGGCAGGTTCAACAAGGAACAAAGAGCATTAAATGACTTAGAAGTTCACCAAGGTATCACAGAGCTCTTAAGAAAACTACTGCAGTCATGTTGAAGAAATGACGAGAAGCCTATATCCCAGCAGTGATTACAGTGGCCAGACAGCTCTGGTTTTGGTGTGGGAGCACAAATTCTTCCAACAATACAATGTATTAGGACTTCTACTCAGCTGGAGGGGAGAACAAAGACAATTACTGTCTTGATCCATGAACTAGAATTCAGATGTTTTTATTCACTGTTAAATCTATTCTGGAAGTTTCCCTGTTTATTGCTGAGGTGTCCTAATTTATGAAAACAATGATGTGTTTAGTGTGTTTTGTAAACAACCCTTATGAACCCCAAAATCTAGTCTCCCTCAATATGTAAAATTTACCAGCAGTTAATCAAAACTCTAGAACATGTCTTTGCAATGGTATTGATGCAGGTACAAAAACTAGCTATTAAGTGATGCATTGCTTGATTATGGTATGATGTCAGTGCTTTTAAGACCTTTCCTTCACAGGTCAGTACCTCAGTGTGCTCTGCCACAGTGACGAGTGGCACTTCATTTTTCCTGACAATGTGTCCCCCTCTCCTCCTGTAGCTTCATGGTTGCTCTCATCCCAGCAGGAGTATTTGTTCTGACTGCTATGTCAGTCCACCAGACAAATATGCAATATGAAGTTACAGAATACAGAAAAAGATTTTAGGACTTTCTTCTTCCCTGAGAGGGGAGCTACTAACACACAGTGCTTTGGGAAAACATTCCAGGAGACAGTGAACTGGCCTGAGGAATAGGGGACCCTCGAGCTAAGTAGTTCCATAAAGGTTCTGGTTTTTGCTTTCAAGCCTCTTAATGTAAATGGGAATGTGCTTGGTGGTGTCAGTAAGCAGAATGAATGTTTCATGCTCTTCAGGTAGTTTGTGGCAGTCCATAAATGCATGGATAATGTTTTCTCATTTAACCCTTTTTTGGTGGTAGTTTCAGTTTGAGTCATTATTGCTCACAAAAAGACTTACAGTAATTGAAACCTGTGCAGTTATGAGAGATGTTATGTAATCTGACCAGTCATTTTGTGTTTGCAATTTATACGATAAATTTTTTAATAATTTGAATTCTTTATAGGTATGTTGCCAAAAGTTTCATATCAAATTTTATTTATAAATCATTACAAAAACCCAATAAGTTTCTTGAAGCTGACTGGAAAAGCTTATGGGAAAAGCTTTTGGCAAGAGGATACCTTAGGACATATTTTATGGACTTGTCCAAGGGTAGCATGTTTTTGGAAAAATATTATTAAAGTCATTAGGCAAATTGAAAGGCAGGAAATTTCTTTTGAGTAGCAGCAGAGAAAAAAAAAATCCATATCTATTGAAGGGTGGTTCAATTTTACTAGGTTTTCATTTTAATTGTATGGAACATTTTGAGACTGTTGGCTCAAGATAAAAATGAAGGCTGAGAGATTTTTTTTTTGATGCAGGAGGAGAGAGGCAGAGAGAGAGGAAGAAAAGTGAAGACTTTGGCAGAAAATATTTGGCATCAAAAAATCGGTAATATATGAACCTTCTTGTCTGAAAAAGCACACAATATTTTCATATATTTACCATTTCAAATTAGCACGTTTGAATGAGTGTGATTTTTTATGTTTCTTTTTATGTCTGGTGTTATTTTTTGACATTAAATATTTGTGTTGTATGTGCTAACAGAACTTTGGAAAGTGTATCTCAAATAGAGTGACAATGGTGGTTCTGTAAGGCTTGATGAGATTATGTGAGTTCTCTGTCCTTTGGATAAGATCATTTCATGTCTCATTTTTTTGAATATTTGCCTGTTTTCCTAAAACACAAAGCACATTGCCTGTGTCAAATTCTGGTCTTTAGGGCAGCAATAGTGCCCTGCTTTGGGAGCACTGATAAGTTGTGTGATAAGGAGCAGAATAAATTCATTGCCTTGTGTTTGTGTGCCGTTGTCTGTTGCTGTTCATTCGTATTCTCCATGATTTGTTTGGCAGCACATTAACAAGAAGTCTTATTAGTGGCTCATTTTAAAGAACAATGTACTTGAGTTTGTTGAGGAAATCACTACTGCTTCAAATTTGAAGATCTTGACTGCCCCAAGATGAGTCCCCCAACAGCTGGTTGCCTTACGCACTAATGCCTGGTGGAAGAAGAATCTGTGCTACAGATAGTTGCCGCATCAGAAATAATTCAAAACTGCAAGAAAGAGAAAAATAAAAAATAACTGAAGCTCCAGACAAATTGGCAGGCTGGGTTGTGTAAATAAAATGGCCAGCTAATTGTATTCCCTGGTGAATCCAGTCCAAATGGACCAGACGGGTTGAGTGCATAATAGAACACATGCACCACAGTTTGAAAATCTCTGGGAATACTGAGCTGTCTTGTGCCACCCCTGATGGAGCTGAAATTGTAGTGAACAGAATGCTGGAACCATGTTGTATTATCAGAGGACGTGGAACCACTTATTTGAACTAAACACTTAGTGCTGTCATGCTGGTGTGACAGAAAATGGCACTAAAGCACAGCTGAGTGGCTATTTTTGTCTGGATAAATACTCCAGTTTGTCAAGCTCTGTCTTCTGGTCTGCTAAAGCACAAAGGTAGAGTTCAAAAGACATTAACAACTTTATGTTATGTTAGCTTAGGAATGTTAGCTTAGGAAGAAGAATCACCTCATTCCTTTTCTGTGTGCAATTCCAAATATCGGGTAAATTAAAGTGGGTCTCAGGTGATTCAAAGAGGATGCTTAAGCCTATGCTTCATTTTGTATTTCTGTAAAAGTAAATTTTGTGTAAATTTACCTTTTTCTTTATTTCAGCTCATCAAGTTTTGGCATTGCTGCTAGTGGAGGTAGTCTCCAGTTTAAAAAGCACTCCTTGTAAGAGATGAGCTTCACTAAATAAGTATGATGGTAACCCCCAATTTTACCATTATCCTTACTGTGCTGGAGCACTTCAAATATTTGCTTTTGTGTCCTAAAACTAACAGCAAAATATAACAAAAAAATAGAGATTACAGATATAAAAATTAGAGTCTTAGTGACTGAGCAACCAGGCTTGGGGTGTAAGTGGGATTTCAGGATTTCCATTCTTGAACTAAGTCTACATTTAATACACACTTTCTCATTTGGGGGTGGGGGGAATTTTTGTTATTAAACTTGGCTAAAGTTGGGGTTCAGGTAGATGTGGAGGAAATCATAAATTTAGGGCCCATGATTTCTCGGAAGCATTTTCTGCAAATGTGGACCATTATCTCAAGACATGTTCATGGCACCTTGCGGTTGGGGAATGCTATGTGGCAAACAGAACAGAATCAGCTGGTGTCTTCTGTTGGGGTGAAGAGCCAATAAAGATCAGAGAGAGGGTAAAGAGGTATTTCAGGCATATCCCAAGGCACTCCAGGGGCAGAGCTGTCAGGATACAAAACTTCAGAGAAAACCTCAGTATATGGGGCTACACGCAGGGAAGGACTGTGCTGCTGTGCAGCAAATCTCCCGGCTTTCTGTCAGGACTGCTCGAGTGGAAATTTTTTATTTGATCAATACCCAAAACTGTGATTTTATGCTGAGTTAGTACATAGAACTTAGAGAAAGGGCACAGTAATACTGTCTTGAGTATAACTAATGGGTGTTCTTGCTAGGCTTGTGAATAAATACTGCTGATATTGCCTTGAAGTCAGGAGTGCTATGCCCTGAGAGAGCAATGGGGAAAGGTGAAAACAATGTTTTGCCTCTGTGGTCCCCTAAAGGCAAACTTTCACTACCCCTTTCCTGCATTGAGAGAAAATTGTTTGGTCAGTGGGTATTTGGAGGACAAGAAGGGAACAGGAAGCTAGTTCTTCAAGGAATGAAGAACAATAAATTACTTCTAAGTTCACCTGGGTATCACACAGCTTTTGATATAACTAAGAGGGTTACTGGCAGTCAGTTTGGTCAGTGAAGAGTAGTTCTCTCTTCCTCTTTGTTTTCTTTCTTTTCATCTGAATTTTTATTTTCTGAAATTGCCCCATATCATGTAAATAGGGGTATCCAAGATACCAGGGTTAAGAACTGAATATTGCTCTAAAAATGCAACTTAAACCTTTTACCCTTACAATTCTAAGAATTTCTATATTATGTTTTAAACACTTCATAATACTCATAGTGATTCACAAGTGTTGCTTCTGAATTCTCAGGTCAAAGCATGTTAAGAAGCAGACTGTAGTCTAAGTTTTGTTTTGGTGTGAGGCATACATTTATACAGCCAGATTGTGCATGAATATCTGTGGGGAAATTCTGAGGCCAGAAATGAGAGCAAGACAAGTGAAAATGAGCAGCATGGTCCTGTTTTTAACAAGTGAGATAACAGATTCGTTTTCCAACCAAAATGTTCTGGTTTTGTGGTTTGTTTCTGGTTTTTTGGGGTGTTTTTTTGGTTTTGGGGGTTTTGGGGTTTTTTTTTTGTTGGTTGATTGGTTTGGGGGTTTTTTTGCTGTGTTGTTCTGTAGCTCAACTGGGAATTTTAGTCTTGTTTTTGAGCTGTAGTCTTCTTTGCTCAGTAAGTCTCCCACAGCAGTAAGAATGATTCCTTCAAAGTATGTATATAAATACATGAAAGTAGTGGAATAGGTGTGTAGCTGTAATAGATTCATTGCCCAGGTAAGTAAAGACACCTTAGCAACACTGGTTGAAGCAGTAGCAGATATATAAGAAGGCTTAACTCTGATTTTACTCCTATCTCAAATCTGTAATTTTACACTTTTCTACCTTGTATTTAAGAATAATATTCTTTCTTTAGTCTTTAATATGCATCCAATTTAATGCAAAAGTTATTTATGTTACAGTCATAGCAGAAGTTTCATTGTGCTTTGTGCATTGATCTGGTCACAGTGTGAATGCCTTTAGTTTTGAGACACAGGAAGACATACAGTTTGAAATTCTTCATGGTCTGAGTCTGCTTTGAGTCTGCTTGGTTTTTCTAAAAGCAGCAAAACAAATCATCAAATCAAAGCAAGCAAATCAATCTGTTTTCTGGGGAAAGAAAACAAAATAAACACACAACCAGAAATGTCAATATACAAACAAACAAATCCAAAATAACAATAACTACAAAATCAATAACAACAACAAACCCCAACCAACCCAAACAGAGAAAAAAGCACCCTCCCCCAGAATCCTACTGAAAAGATTGGTTTTTTCACTGTGTATTGTTTGCTTGACTATTGCCTTCCTGAGAAATTCTGTTGCTTTAAAGTTTTCAAGCAGCTCTTTGCAATTTTCAGCGATTTTTCTGTTCAAGTTTGATGGCATTTTACACTTGTTGGTGGATGTGTACTATAATCGAATATGTCTTACCATTTCACTTTTTCTATTTTCAAGATTCAGAAAAATACTGAAATAAACCATAGTCTTTCTGCTGGTAGGATACATCCTCCCCAATTGTGCACACATCTCCCTTTGGTGCACGTCAAAAAAAAAAAAAATTATTTGAGCAAATCAGAGTACGAGACCCTGATCAAGTTAGTTTTGATTCATTCTTATGGTCAAGTCAAAAGGGAGCAGTCTGAGACTATAGCCTGTGCAAATCTAAAGAAGCAGGTAGAAAAACACTGGTTTCATTATGAATTTTTTTGACCTGCCCTGTAGTTTTAACATCTGCTTAATAATATTCTTTTTCATTAATTCTGGTAAAGATGCACTTAATTATTTTTAAGGAGAAGCAACTGATAATATTTTGAGACAGTTAACCTGTAAATATTAAAGTCCTTGTTTTCCCCTTTGAACAGGAAGTAGATTCCTGTGCTAGTGAGCTGCATGTTGTAGCTGGTAACACTGACAGAAACTGTGTCAGAATTGCTGTACGTTCCTCAGGACAAACCCAAAGCAAGTGTAAACCTCATTATGTATTGTGCTGTGTACACAGTTTTACATACCTTTTCCACAGGCTAGACAGACATTTCCAGATGAATTTGTTGAGATGGTTTTCTCTTGAATTACATGATGCCAGCCTAGAAAATTGACAGGAAGCATTATTCAAATTCTTTTAAATTTTTAATTTTTAAAGCACATTGTTATGTATTTCTCTACTAGGTAGGGCAGAGCATCTTCCTGGCAATACTGGAATGCCCTGAGGATCCCCAAAAGCCTTTTAAAGAATATTTTATTTACTGTGAGGAGGACTTGAGATAACCCTTTTAGGTGCCTGCAAGATTTGTAAAGTCTGGTGAGAACAGATTGAAGGTGGATGCCTTCAGCTCAGAGTGTACTGAGAAAGGTTTGCTGTGTATGGTTTCAGGCTACTGGCAATACTTGGGGCGTTAAGACTGCCATTGCAGCATTAGTGCTGATGATATGGGAGCTCATATGCAAGGCTGAGGCCAAGTCCTGTAGAGGCTGATCCACCCAAAACTCAGAAGTAGGTTCCTGTCTTTCTTTCCTGCTGCTCTGTGGTTCCCCAGAGTCTTGTTTAACTTACTTAATCTAAAGAAAAAACGGTGCTGGACAAAGCACAAAGCATTTGGTTTTGGCTTTTGGAACTTGTGGCAAAACACTTTTTG